TACGTTATTTATTGCACAATATTTCGCAACTTTTTGCGCAATATTATGTCCAGACCGTAATTATTGCGCAATATTTCGGGCCATAATAACTTACATAAAATTACGTTAATATATTTTGCTAATGAATATAGTATAATATACTACAGTGAAACCATATCCATTAACATAAACCTCTCTATTTTTTACAGTATTGGCTTTTAAAAATTTTTATATTTTGTTTAGCCAATAGAATTGCTGTTTTTTTAGGGTTGTTGTTGATTTTTTTACTCCCCCCCCCCCCTCTCCCTTGCAAAATATTTTATGTTATGTTAATTAAACAAAGAATCAATTTGGAGTGGCCTAAATACTAAAAAAAAATATTTAATTGTAAACTATTTAACCAATCTGACCAGTACAGATTCTTTAACCAGACCAGTCAAATTGGTTTGTAAATTAATATAATTTAATTTTAGTTAAAGTGCCAGGTGACTATAGTAACGTCTTTTGATTGGTTGAGAGTTAACTGATAGTCTACTATCAGTTAATTTCTTACACTCCCGAGAGAAGAGGGATTTAAAGATAAAAACTTAGGTTTTTATGGATCCATTATCGAAAACGAATTTACCTTCGTCTAACCAAATGTCTCAACGTCTTCGATCGCCCAAAGATTTCGTCACACGTGTTTTAAGTCCAAGGATAGCCGTGTTATCTTCTCCAGATGCGGATCAAGTGTGTCAGGCGAGCAATTTCCCGGATTTCCTCACATTGATAAAGCCTTTTGGTGAGCGCATTGACGGAAAAGGTTCGTAGCATAACAGTAGTCCAATGTCAAAGAAGCATATTGTAGGTACAAAGCTTACTCCTCTTTTTCTTTTTATACAAAAAAAAAACATATTCACTGAAAATCCAATTGCATTGTTATTTCGTGTTTTTTTTATTTTTTATTTTCTTTTTATTAAATTTATACAGTATTCACTAAAGATTCTCAAGGTGCTCCGAACCCTATAGAAAATTTCACAGTTCGATTTGCTAATTTAACAAGGCTGGAGCAGCCTGACGTTCAACTTACTTCTCAAATACTGGCGAATAGAGTTAAGTTTATCAATAATTCTCTCGCAAAGGATGGATTAACTTACATCAAAACGAAATTTGATGTAACTGAGAAGTATTTAGAAGGTATTTGCGGTTATTATCGTTTGAATCATTTATAAATGAAGTCTTTGTATTGTCTCACTTATATTTTTTACAGTAAATCAAGACGAATTAACTCCATGGTATGCAGAATATAGGAGATGGTTCTTCGGATTTACTGGTGTTTCTGAGCATGAAACTTTTGAACATCCTGTAGCCTGTATCCTTTGAACTTTGTTTCCTTTATTATACTAATCCCAATTTAAATATTAGAGCCATAACTTATTGACATTTCAGGTATTCTCGCCATAAGTTCGTCAAATGCGAATCCTATAGACACTCTTCGTCAGATGTATAATATTACCACTCCTGCACCTATATTTGAAAAAGGGTTTATGGACCCAAATATTTTGAAATGTTACGTTCTTTTGCATGACAATCATAAAGTTGGCATGGAACAGTGAGTAAATCGTAATTATTTTGGAAGTCACATCTTAATATTATTGCATTTACAATAATTTCATTATTGAATTATACCATAACTAGCTCTGAGGCGATCTACGACGAGATTAAACGTACATTTAAACAAGACTGCTACTTTTTAAATTTAAATTCTATTCCTCCTGCATCACTTTCAGAAGATCACGATCCTTTTTCTATCCCTGCCTCTCCGTCAACGATTCGCAGTGCTGAGAAAGATATCTGGTCATCTTATGTTTTGGAGTCTAACGTTCTTGATGCATTGTTTGCAGCTACACCTCCGACTCTGTCCACTTCATCAGAGTCACATTCACGCCAAAGTTCTTTAACTTCACTCTCCAGTTATTCTCATCCGCTTTCTCCTACCATTTCAGCTCTAAATTCACCAACATCATCATTCACTGAAGACTCGACATCGAAAAGAGAAAATTCCGATTCGCAAAATGCACTTGATCTGGGTCTAATTGGCAATTTGTCACCTCCTGATGTCTTGTATGGGCAATATCTCAATGAAGATGATATTTCTGGTATTCATACTTTTATACGAGATTTGATAGATAAAAGTATTATACCATACATGGAAAAAAATATTTGGCAATGGAATGAACAGGTTTTTTATTTAAATATAAATATAGTATATCAATAAATGGAATTACATCGTGAATTGCATTGATGATCGTTGATTTTTAGGTCGCATCATCAAGACGTGGGATTACTGGTCGTCTTTTTAGTGCGGGTAGGCGTTATTTTAATACTGGTACAAGGACTACGGGATCTGCTCAACAGTCCTCTCAATATTCTTATACTGGGAATTCTTCAAATGCGGCGAGTACTATGTGAGTTGATACAAAAATGTTTTTACGAACGTTCTATTACGCATTGGCACGATTAATTTAGCATTTTTAATCTTAGATATCTGTACAATACTCCAGAAGCACAAATGCGTAAACTAGCTGATTATGCCTTTATGTTAAGAGACTACCGTCTCGCACATTCAGTTTATGATACCGTCAAAAAAGACTTTTTAGCTGATAAAGCATGGAAATATTACGCTGGTGCACAAGTTAATATTCATATTCCTTATTCATTAATCGTTAAATATCGTTGAACGATAATAATATATTCTGCTTTTTCATCTTTTTCATAAAGGAAATGATCGGAATTTGTTTATTGATTGCTGGAAATAAACCAGATATCGATCATTATTTTGAACAGGCGGTCAATGCTTATCTTAATCGTTCTAAGGTTCCGTTTTACGGAACTAGGACGACATTATTATATTATGAGTTGTTAAAGTACAAAAAGTTGTACAAAGATGCACCAAATGCATTGGTGCGGATGACTGGAGAGGTAAGAAGTTGACTTGTATGTTATTGATACCTTTTAACAAACTTGATATCTTACAAACAGGCATATATTCTGTAGGACTCTGACTTGAGAAGCGCGTTATTCTTAGAGCAGGCTGCTCATGTTTTTTTGAGATGTTCTAAGCCTATGGTCAGAAAATATGCTTTTCATTTGATGTTAGCCGGTCATAGATATGGAAAATGCAGTCAGGTAAAAAAATCAATAAATAAAAATCAATAAAAATATTGTATTGAGTTTTCATTAGATGATTCAAAGATCGCTTATGTCTTTAATCTTTTAATTTATCCGAAGAGAGAACATGCACATAGATGTTACCTTGATGCCATGCACGTTTTTGAGAATCACTCATGGACTTTGATTGAAGATCACATTTATTTTGCTCTTGGTCGACAATCTGTCCATTTAGGTGATCTTTCAGCTGCTCTCGAGTTCTTTATAAAATTGTTAAGGGCGAGTCGTCAGCCGCCAACACAACAAAACGCTTATTTAAGAGACTTTATGCATGTTTATAAGGTAATACTTTTGATTTCGTGTTGATAATAGATAGAATCTAATAATAATGCTAACTTACTGCTATCCGATTGCATTCCCTTAAGCAATATGCAAGTAAAACTGGAAAATATCCTTATTTTGATCAAGAACTTCCAATTCCAGTAATCGATAATTCATCTATCAGAGTTATTCTTTCTAATTCGCAGTCTAGTGAATATGATGACGTTTGGGACGTAATGGAACGAGAATTTTTGGAAGAAGGATTTACAGGATTAGATATTTATGGAAAACCACGGAAAAGGCCATACGCTTTAAATGGCGATATTCACCGAATCGTATGTGCAGTTGGAGGTACGTGCAATTGTATATATTATTTTATTATAATATATCTTATTTCATTCACATACCTTTTTTTTTTTTTTTGAAAATTTTAGAACCGTTTTTCGTTCAATTGACTCTTCACAATCCAATGCAAGTCGCATTTAATATAAATGATTTGATTCTTGAATGTGAATATATTCCGCTTCCGGATCCTAGTGAGAACTCTACAGAGCTAGAAAAGGATCTAGATAATGAAAAGACTATACCATGCAATGAAATTATTGACAATAAAGAATCTCAATTGATGAAATTCGAAGACTTTGACTTGGAAACACTTCGTGAAGTGTCACTTGAAGGGCTAGAAAAAAAAATGGTACAAGCCTAATATTTATATTTTAAATAGTATTATAATTAGATTAAATTGAAATCTCAATGTTTACATGAAGTTATTAATGAATTAATATAGATTTCTCTATGCGTATTGCCGAAAAAACAAGGTTCAATCAAAATTTTGGGTCTTAGGTATACTCTTAACTCAATTGTTCACGGTGTAAAGAAATTTACGAAACGTGGCAAGCGTCTCAATGATACTACGGAGCAACGTACGAGTATTGTCTATGCTCCTGATCGATCATTAGATCTTTTGGTTACATCACCAATGCCATTACTTGAGGCAACATTCCATTCTTTCCCCGATGTTCTACTTTCTGGAGAAGTAAACCAAATTCTTTTAGAAATCAACAATAAAGGACAGAAAGGACTTACGGATTTACGTGTGAAAATGAGCCATCCGAGTTTTTTTTGCATTGGTGATGCAGAGATGATAGATCAAAAAGTGTATTGTAAGTTTGTTAGGTTAGGATCGTTAAATAAATAAAGTATATCAACGAATACTAACTCATGAATGGTTGTGTTCCAGACACTTCCACTAGAGAATCGAAATTGAACACTGAAATTTGGACAACAAAAAATTCTATATTTAAGTCTAGCATAAAGACTATACCGTTACCGTCGCAAGAGGTTAACAATGTTGGTTCTCTGGCTCCTGGTAAAACAACCTTAATTCCAATTTGGATTAGAGGAGATCGTATAGGAAAACATGCGTTTAGGTTTTTGTTTACTTATGAATCAGAGGTATCTCGCTTTTAAATTTTATTAGTAGTGTTTAAGAATTTCATAACTTAATAACCATTATAATATCTATTATTTAGAATAACAATTCAGCTATGAGATATAGGTGTCTCCGTTATCTTAAAACAATACAAGTGTATCCTTCTCTCAAGATAAATGCGTTCACTAGACCAAGTATTCGAGAACTAAATGAATTCATTTTGGGGATTGAGGTAGGCTATTCTTATTGCTGTTAATTTAATTACCATTAATTCATAATCTTCCTTTTTTATCTTATTTTATTTTTTTTTTACTTCGCTTATAGATTGAAAACTTACAAACTACTAGTGAATATCAATTTCAGCTAGCCCAACTTTCTTCGATCAGTCCATCCTGGACAATATCTCTTGCAAATGAAAGCGTTGAGTAAGTTGTTTAAGGAATTTGCATTATCTTTTAGTTGAAAATTGTTAAATACATATATGATAATAGGGACATTAGCCAGAAATTTTTAATAGCTCCACGGCAGACTGTGTTTACTTATTATCGGATTAGAAAAAACGAAAAGTACTCTAAACCAATGTCTCATAGTAATGTTGATTCACTGAATACAATGGTTACGCCGGAGGTGTTCGCGTCTAAAGCTTTGGAACTATTGTTAAGCGGACAAAAAGATTTAAAGTCAGAGCCATCTCCTATTGATCTTATTGTAACGAATGTCCCCTTTGTAAGCTATATTTATTAACTTTGAAAATATATTACACATTCAAAATTTACAAGTCATTGGATTTTTTTTTCCAGACAGATAGTATTATAACGAATTCTACAAACCCACTTGAAGGGTTTTCATTGAATTCACGCGTTCAATGGCGAACCAATACTTTAATTAATAATTTCCCTGTTATTCCTGCATCAAAGCACTGTGCACTTTTCCCATTATACAATACAAATGATGTGGATCTTTCACTTTATTGGAACATACCAACTTTATCACGGCAAGGTCATCATTATATAATTGGAATTAATCTTGGAGTTCAACAAAATCCGTTTCTATCACAAAATATAGCAACAATTCAGAGCAAAGCATTGTTTGAGCAGACAGTTCGAGAACGTAATGCATTAATTAATAGCTTATTGAAAAACAAAAATTTCAAAGATGAAAGTCCGTTGAAACTCGTTACGCAATGTGCAGATGTATATGAACATGATTTTCGGAATCGAAGGTTAGTATTATAATAATACTTTTTCTTGAATAACGATTTAGTTAGTCATTAAACACTCTAAATACATATATACCCTTTTAGTTTTTGTGTTGTTCCCATCAAAATATCTGTCAAAAATTGTTCATGGAATAGAAGGATAGGATATACTTTGGAGATGTTATCGTCTGATCGGAATGAAGCTAGTAGGAGGTAATTAATGTCTGACTAATCTATTTAATTAATTACACATCATTACTAGTTTATTAAAATTTCAATCAACCGTATAGCACATTCCACAAATCCGTATACCCAACAGTATTTCAATGGACCGGACCTACATCTAAATATTCCATATTGTCAGCGAACGAAGAACAGACCTATATTTTCAAAGCATGTTTTGTTAGGCCCGGAGTTTATGATGTAAATAGATGGCGGTTAACGGTAAATTTTGATCAGATTATAACAAATAGTGAAAGTAAGGATGAAGGTTCACAAGAACATTATGCAACGAATATTCATGAAGGTGGTGTTGGAACGAAAGGCTATGTACAAATGCCCAATACTCTACATCTTTTGGCACTGGTGGATAGTTCAACTGATAAAAAGAACGAAGATAGTTTACAACCGTATTATATAGAACAATTACAATAATCTATTAGCATTAATAATTATTAACCAAAAATAGTTATATATTTTTTTGTATTATCTATCATTATTTTTTTTTAGCTTAGTTCTGCCATAATGTCTTGTCTGGTTTTTGGAGGATGTTAAAGATAAACTAATAATACAAATAAGAATTATTTAATATTTATTTAAGAGTTTTAATTTTTTTAATTACGTGTTTTTTTTCAGTCCGACTTTCGTAAAAACTAGGACTTCCAACATAGAATATAAATTATCGTTATCTAAATTCGGTCCACCCTGGAATGTGTGAACTACCCCAGTAGCACCGACAAATTTTCACTGATCGACACCAATCAGATTTGATCAAAACAACGATTTTTAAAATAACAAACCATTATACTAGGCTTAGGTTATGAATCTTATGATCGCATCGGAGCTTTTTCATACCAAAATTTAGCAAGGAATTTTTTTTAAAATTTTTAAATTTTAAAAAAATTTGCAGGCAAATTTGCCTGTAATACAATTTAAGGGATAATATATATGTTATAAAAGTATTGCTAACCTTCACTCTAGGTGATATCACCTAGTTGCATAAAAACCAATCAGATCGCTAAATCTCATATAACCAAAACAAAGCGAAGAAAAGAAAAAATTTAAAAAAACTTTAATAACTCTAAATTTTATTATTAAAACTATATTTCAACTTCTAAGCAAAAGTTTTCAGCTTTGAATTTTAATTTTAGCTTAAGCCTAACTCTAATATTAACTATATATATATTTATAAATTCATTTTAGAATATTACTAACCATAACCAGTGGTGACTATTACCAGTGTAATTATATATTATATAAAAAAAAAAAAATTCTTAAAGTTGCTTCCTAATTTTAAAAATATCTATAGGTGGTAACAATCACCACTGGTTATTTGTAGTAAAACTCTTTATTTTAATAAAATTTTATAATATCAGGTGATATTACCATGGGTGAAAATTAGTTATAATTATTTCATAATATAGTATATATAATATATATACTGTATATTAGGCCATACAAACTTAATTAATTGGTTTTTATAATCTAGCTAGGTTAAATTTAGAAAAAAATTTTTTACTATATTTATTATCCAGGTAAATTTTTTTAAATTTTTGTAAAAAAATTTTATCTGTTTTTTATATATAAAATTTTTTGAAAATAAAATTAAAAACTGAGTTGCCAGGTTATTTTTAAAATTTTATATTATAAGAACCAAAAAATTGATTTTATATATAGCCTTATATATATATATATATATTTTGGCAATTCTGCCTTTATTGTATAAGGAATGCATAATCTAAATATATAAGTTCTTAGCTAATGCCAACAACCCTTCTTTCTCTTCAATAAAAACTCACCTAGCTGCTCAGAGGTGTTCAGATGTAATCTGCTATAGCAACTCTTTTTCTCCTTTCTGGCTTTCAACTTGCTGAAAGATTATTCATCAGATCCTTGGACGGTAGTTGCTAGCCTTGTTAGGACTGCATTTAAGTTTTGTAACTATATAGTCTATATAGCCCTAACCACTTCGGTTTGATATTAGTTGTAATTACTTTCTTAACTTCTTTCTTCGTCTCCTCCTACAATTTTTGATCTGCTTCTTCTATTAAAATTCTTTTGACTCTTGTCTCTTAGATTTTTCTCTTCTTGGTTTTCTTGTATATTGGATCACTTCTCTCGTCTCGCTTTCTTTTTTGTGAGTTCATAATGCCTCTGCCCTGCTCAAATTTATTTATAGCTTCACATCTTAATTGCCAGATCACCTCTTAAAAGCATTTTCATAGTTTGTGGCTGTAGATCCTTCAGAGCTCTCTTAGTAGTCTGTTCTCATTTCTAAGCTTTCAGAAGATTTCTCCAATACAGTTAACTCTGTTTTTGTATATAGCCTCCAATTATTTCTTCTTTTGTAATGCTATATATCTTTCCTTCGCTTTTTTTTTGTTCATTCTTTAACTTTTTCTTTATATCATCCTCGAATGCTTCACTCTCTATTCTGTTCCACAATTTCTCATATATTTCGCATATGGCTAAGTGATCTAGATCTTCTTTTTCCCGAAAGCATGCGATGCAAAAATCAACCAGATATAGAATTAGATTTCTTCTGTGAAGCACTTTCATTGTTGGCAGCAACCCGTTTATATACTTTATCTTAAAGACTCAACTGTGACTATCCTTTAAGCTTCTGTATCTATATCCTATCTCTTTTCTTTGCATTCTCAAATTTCCCTCCAGTCCAACTATTTCTCTTTTGTACTATTTCTAATCAAACTATCTATATATTTGCTATTTATCCAACCTATACTATAATATATTTTTATTATACTATCTATTATTTCTCTAGGTAAAATCTTCACTATCTTGGACTATTCTATTCTAAAACTACAATACTCTTTAGAGCTGTTTTTTTTCTTTGCTAGCTTATCAGCTGCCTCATTTAATTTAACCCAATTATGCCTTTTTACCTTTATAAAGCTAATATCAATACCTTTTATCTTAACTAAATTTATCACCAATACAACGATACTCCTGTTTTTAAGCTTAGTGGTTTTTGTATCTTTTAGGCTAGCTTTAACTTTTTCAATAATACTGATTGAATTTGTACTATCTGTAAAAATTTGTACTCTGTATTTGTTTAGTATCGCTAATAATGCAAGCCCTATAGCACTTATTTTTGCTCTCGTTGAAAAAGGCCAATCTTTTATTGCATCTGAGAAATGTTCTAGAACTGTTTCTGTATCCTTTTTGGCCATAACCCAACCTATACCCATTTTTTTCAGCTCTTCATTTCCACAATCTCCATTTAAAAAGCCATCTGTGAAGATGTCTAATTCTGCATAGCCAAACAGTTTTTGCAATGACTTCTGGATTTTCTTTCTATACACCTGCTCTACTATATATCTGTCAATTAGATTTTCTTTTAAGTTTTTAATCAATACTGTAGAGCTTGGCAATGAGATGGGTATATCTGTCTATACATTGATTCTTCTGCTAAAATTTGCTAGCGGTACCTCGCACAGGATTTTGTTTTCTCTCTGCTTTTTAATACAGTTTTTCTTTAATGCTCTTTGCTTATTCTTTAGATTTAAACCTATTTTGCATTCATTGAGCTTCTGTGTATTAGACAGACTACAACCTTGATATTTGTTATACATGTCTATATTTTTTTTTTCTCTTTTCAATATATTACTTCTATCTTATATTTACTTCTATTTTTTTTGACCACCCAGCCCAAGTCTGTTATACTCTTTTCATTCGCCAGTACAACTCATTCTGCTTTTCTTTTATCTTTGAATATATGTTGAAATAAGGGCACTAGAGCTGCTCAATTTTCTTTTTTACATTTGTATCTTGTATGCACCTCTCATGTTGTCTGGTTATTGATCACTACACTCTCAATACTGTTAAACCATGAGGGCTTTTTTCCTTTGCCCTTGTTTCCTCTTAAAAATTTTACTTGGCACCAAGTTAAAAGTGTCGATCACTTTTCTTTGAGCAATTGTTTTATAAATATAATATTATTCAATTTGCTTTTTATATACTCTTTTTTTTTAATCTTGTTTAATACATACCAAATCTCTATTTCTTCCCCTAAATGTATGTCCTTTGCCACTTCATTGTATTCTAGTTCTATGTCTAATTTTGTGGCTTCTCTAACTATATTTGCATTAAAATTGTTCTTTATTTCTGCTTTATTTAGCCTTTGAGCAGACTACTTAATTATGCACCTGCTACTTCTGTTATCAACCTGTGCCTGCCTTAGTCTAATCCAGGTTATATTCCCTACTGACTCTATACTATTTAGTCTCTTAACTAAACTAGAGACTTGTTGTGCCAACTTTGCTTGCTATAAGCCTTTAGCCTCTACCAAATTCGGGTGCATAATGATGCTATTTGCCATAGTACTTGCTAATCTTGCTTTTCACTTGAGTATCAACCTCTTCAAACTGTTTTGAGAAATGCTTATCTACAGCTCATTTTACTTTTTTAGATTTATATATCAGCTCTTTCTTCCTATTTATTTGGTCTGTTGTTACTAGAATTCTTTCTATTTTTAATTTATTCCATGGTCTTTCAAGAATACTATTTAGTATTTTCTTCTTATACTGGTTAACTATTACAAATCTTCTTTTTATATTTTCTTTTATTTTCTTATCTTGCTCTGTTCTTTGCTTTAAGATTATTTTCTTTTCAATTACTTTTATTCACTCTTTGAGATTTTTTATCTATTGCTCTAACCAGCAATCTTCAACCTCTTTGATTCTAGTTTCATTACTAAGGTTTACTTGATTTATTTAGGTGTTTATCAAATGTTAATTTTCTAGTTTAATTCTATTATTTAGATTTTTGGTACCCTTTATTTCTATGTTTCTGAGTAGCTTGATCCATTTATATTTTGGGTTCTAGATGATCTGCTTTTGCTTTTTCTCTAGCATATTATTAATTTTCTTGAAAGAAACTGTTTTGTTAGCTGCTAGTGTGTAATTAGCTAGCTTTCCCAACCTTTGTTTATTAGATACTCTGTTGCTAAGAGGTAAGTTTTCACTTTTTTCTTTTTGACTCTGTTTTGTTTCTCTTCTAAGTATTTCTCTAACAGAGTTGTAAACTTTCTTCAATTTTTATTGGATATTTTGTCATAGAAATATATTTTGCATTGTCCAAAATATCTTCTATGTTGTTTGGCAATTGAATTAAAGTAAAATATTGGGCTTAAAAATATTTTTGTCTATATTAAGTTGTGATCACTACCTATTACCAAATCTATATCTTTGATATTACTATTTATTATAAGTTCTTTTATTGATAAATCTAACCATATGTGGTTTATTTTCAAGTAATGGTTATTGTTGGACCAGATTGCCTTGAAGATTTGAAAGTTGATAAATAGATAAGATTTTGCATAATCTACTCTTTGAAGCCAATTTAATAAAGGAAGTTTACTATGTTTGTGTTCTGAGGTCTCATCATCTATATATTGACTAAAAGTAGTATGAGAATCTAGTTTAGTATTAAAGTAGAACCCTGAAATATATATAAATAGTTAGGTTTTATTTTGCTTATTTTGTGCAGATTATTTTATTAGATTTCTATTTATAGTAATTAGTTTGCTTATTTTTGACTTTTTTTCTGCAGATCCTTTTAAATTTAGTAATTTTTGTAAAACTTTACTCCTCCATATATATTTTGGAGTTCTATTAAAGTCTCTACCTATTAATATTCTTGTATTTGAGCTACTCTTCATATTAAATATTGCTAAATCTTTTTTGCATATTTTTGTTATTTGGTGGAAAATATACTACCCAAATACCTAATACTGTTTTTTAAATCTAAAGACTGCTTTTAATGCATAATATTCTTGCATACTATTTTAGATAAATATGTTTGCCATTTTTTCTCTACTAAAATATCTATATCTGAACTTTTTTTCTTTTCTATTTTATCTTTTGACCAAAAAGCTCTATACTACTTCTAATTTACTTCGAAAAAACCTGATCTCTAATATTAATATTTGTTTCTGTTACCTTTATAATATCCAGATTTTCTTCTATACCAAATTTTATAAGCTTCTGCAATTTTAACCAATTCCCTTTAAAACCATTAATATTATGAAACCCTGGTTTTAATTGTTTGAAACTCTCATCTATTTTGTTGATTTGGCCTACATTTTCTGGCCATAAAGTGTCTTTCAACCCTTTTATCTGTAATTTGATCATGGCTAATTTTTAGGAACGCTAGACTATCTACTTCTCAAGTTCTGTAAATCTTTTTTTCATTTCATTTACAAGCCCCATATATTTTTTTTTTGGTTTGATTCAACCTCTTGTTCTTTTTGTTTTCTTTTTTTCTCGCCTAGTTCTATTCTATTTGATTTATTTGCATATTTATTTTCTAGGCTTCTAAGAGGTTTTCTGATATTACTTTGGGCTCTAATAATACTATCACTTTACTTGACTTTTGTATTATTAGATGAGTTGCATATAGGGCTTCTATCTCAATTGCTTTGTTTAGAGAGTACTTGTTTGGTTCATTTGCTTTCTTTTGGTACCTCTGCTTTATTTAATAGTCTTTTCCCTTTATTAGTATTTCTGTTTAATCTCTTGTACTAGAAAATATTATTATGTGAATAACTTCTACACCTGTTTTTTACTGTTTTTTGCCAATTGAGCTTGATATTGCAGTTATAGAGTTTATACTTTTGGGCTGCCCGAAGATCTTCTTCTGATTTAAAATATAGGTAAGCAGTTTTTCTTTGGTTTCTATTACTATTGCTTAAGATATATAATGCTTGTACCTTATACTTTTTAAGTTGTTATAAGAGAAGGCTATCTTAGAGATTACACTTTTGTGGCTATTTTTTCCCTCCAATATGTTAATATCAAATTTGCCAGATGTAGTACAGTATTAGTTAATCAAATTGCATAAAAATTATAAATAGTATTTATTAATAAAAGTTTTTAAATTTATATAAATTTTGATTTATTGGGCCAATTTGGATAATTTAGCTACCAAAATAATTCTCAATGTAGAATTTTAACAAGCCCAAAATCATTAAAATCCAATTACAAAATCACAAGATAGATAATTTTTTGTATTGTTTAAATATACAGTATATAAAATAATACAAAATATTATCTATTTTGTAGTTTTGTAATTAGATTTTAATAATTTTGAGCTTGTTAAAATCCTCTTATTGAGAAGATTATTTTGGTAGTTAAAGCATCTAAATAGGCCCAGCATATCAAAAGTTATTCAAATTTAAAGATTTTATTTATAATTTTATAATTTTGGCCAAAATTATAAAATTATAGTATATACAACTCTTTCTAACGATCACTCATACCAAATTTTCCCACCAAACAAAAACAAAAATTTGTTAGAAAAGGTGAAAGTACTATGTGGCGGTTTTTGTAAAGGTCAACCTTCTGCTCGGGGACTCCTCTACATATTTGGTATGCAAACCAAAAGTGTTGGTATACAAGATAATTGGCAGAGGCGTTGCCCTTGTATACAAAATTTTGAAGATATCAGTGCTCTGATAAAAGTGAGGCTATATCGTTTATGAAATCAAGCATAGAAAACATAATAGAAGGGGAACAAAATTTGAAGCCAAGTGACTCCTATTATATCTTTCTCTGCTCTCATGCCTTTCTTCCAAGATTTTTTGATAAAAAGTGGGGATCTGGCTTACCTTCTCCAAAAAATCGGCATTGTTTACACCTTCTTAATTTGGACGACTCAGTAGAATGCAACTATATATTTGTTTTGTTTATCAATATGGTACTACGATACAAGGAAGAAATTACCACCCCATTTAGGAGATATCCGAGTTGAGTCAGTGTCTGGAACGAGTTCCAAAGTTAAACTTAAGGTTTACAATCGAGATATAATAATTAGTTGCTACCTTTTTCTCGTAACACTAACAATAAACAAGAAAAAAATATTCCAGTCAACATTAATAGAACTACTTACACCTCGACTGCGTCAAGGTGACGTATTTCTCTTAATGTTGCTTTTCATATATCATGTTAATACAAATTAAACAAATTTACATTAAAAAGGCATCTTTATTATGTTTAAAAGGTTTATAGAGTACAACTACGTCGTCTACGGTCTTAAGAACCTCTAGAACAAAAATCTGCTTACGTCTACAATATTTGAATGCAGGTCTTGTAATTCTAGCATTCCTAGCAACAAATCTAATATTATTTTTAGCAATAACACCTTCAATTAAATCATCTTGAACAACTTTTTTCACGTGTTTCAAC